CAATAAATCTTTTGAACTAAGGTGGCCCGTATCAGCTGTTTTGAACACCATTAGTGGCCTCCAGCCACATCATTAGTTTCTTTAGAATGATTTGTTCAATTATCTTTGTAAAGATCTAGTATAGAGCTGTATGAATGAGTAAATGAGGGCACAGATTGTAGTGTAAAGCGCTTTGAGTATCTTGAAATAAGATAGAAAGGCGCTATATAAGTACACTCCATTTACCATACTGGTCCTGTTAGACCTCAGTGCTGCATTTGTCAGTCAGTTGATCACAATATTTTACTACAGAGGTTTGGATATGGACCTGTCCAGTGTGTACCCCGCCCCTCGCACAGTGATTGCTGGACATGGGCACCAGCGACACCCGTGATCCAAAATGGAATAAGCGGGTAAAGATAATGAATGGATGGATGGATGGGTTTGTATATGATATTGGGATTACAGAAACAGCTCTAAAATGGTTTAAATCATATTTGTCTGATAGATTCCACTTGGTAAATGTAAATAATAAATCTTCTTCATACACCAAAGTTAATCATGGAGTTCCTCAGGGCTTAGTGCTTGGGCCAATGCTCTTTACTTTATATATGCTTCCATTAGGTAAAATTTCCCGATGCATGCTAAATAATCCAGGTAGAAAAATCTAAAAAAAAGTTAAATATGGTCTTCTGCACATTCTAAAAAACAAAACAAAACAAAACAACAAAAGCAAAACAACAACAACAAAAAATGTAGAAACGTTTCGTCTTTCATCCAAAAGACTTCTTCAGTCTGAGGTGCTGTATTCAGCTCAGTTTTATAAATAGCACCTTCTCAGAGTGGATCAACCAGTTTGCTGCTGACAACCAAAACCAGCTGCTCACATGATCAAGAAGGACCATCAGCCTAAGGATGGATCATTAGCACACTGATGGCTGTTTACTATTCACAGAGGGCTGAGTGATACCAGCAATCACAGCATTGTAAGAGGGGGACAATTGAACACGTAGGCCTCCACCCCTGTTTAATGATGGATGGTTTCTTTTCACAAAGATGGCCTCCTTTACTCCTCTCTCAAACCATCGTTCCTCTCTGTCCAGGATGTGAACATCTTCATCCCTGAAAGAGTGACCGCTGGCCTGGAGATGAGTGTAGACCGCAGAGTCCTGGCCTGATGATGTTGATCTTCTGTGCTGGGCCATCCTTTTGGCCAGTGGCTGTTTTGTTTCCCCGATGTAAGACTGATCACAGCCCTCCTGACACTGAACAACATACACAATATTACTTTGTTTGTGCCGGGGGACTGGATCTTTGGGATGAACCAGTCTTTGCCGTAATGTATTTTTGGGTTTAAAAGCCACTGGGACGTTATGTTTAGAAAATAAACGTCAGTTTCTCTGATACTCCCTCAACATACGGAATGACCACTGGTCTGGGTCTGGGTTTCTCCTTTTCACCTGATGGCTGACTGGAGTCCTGTTTGGGTTTCTTCTCTGCTTTCAGGAAGGCCCAGTTAGGATATCCACATTGCTCTAGAGCCTGTCTTGTGTGGGATTTCTCAAAATACATTACGGCAAAGACTGGTTCATCCCAAAGATCCAGTCCCCCGGCACAAACAGAGTAATATTGTGTATGCTGTTCAGTGTCAGGAGGGCTGTGATCAGTCTTACATCGGGGAAACTAAACAGCCACTGGCCAAAAGAATGGCCCAGCACAGAAAATCAACATCAGGCCAGGACTCTGTGGTCTACACACATCTCCAGGCCAGCGGTCACTCTTTCAGGGATGAAGATGTGCACATCCTGGATAGAGAGGAACGATGGTTTGAGAGAGGAGTAAAGGAGGCCATCTTTGTGAAAAGAAACAGTCCATCATTAAACAGGGGTGGAGGCCTACGTGTTCAACTGTCCCCCTCTTACAATGCTGTGATTGCTAGTATCACTCAGCCCTCTGTGAATAGTAAACAACCATCAGTGTGCTAATGATCCATTGTTAGGCTGATGGTCCTTCTTGAGCATGTAATCAGCTGGTTTTGGTTGTCAGCAGCAAAACTGGTTGATCCACTCTGAGAAGGTGCTATTTATAAGACTGAGCTGAATACAGCACCTCAGACTGAAGAAGTCTTTCGAATGAAAGATGAAAAGTTTATACATTTTTTGTTGTTTTGCTTTGTTATGTTTTTTTGAATGTCCAGAGGACCAGATTTAACTTTTTTAGATTAAGTAAAATTATTAAACAGCATGGGATACATATTCATTGTTATGCTGATGACACACAATTATATTTGTCCATTAAACCCAAATAATCCAATCAGCTACTTAGACTACAAGCATGTCTTAAAAACATAAAAACCTGGATGACCCTTAATTTTCTCCTGTTGAACACAGACAAGACTGAGGTTTTGGTTTTTGGACCTGAGCACCATAGGAATGAATTTTTCAGTCTTTCTCCCTCCTTAGATGGCATTAATCTGTTCTCCAGCTCTAATGTTAAAAATGTTGGTGTTATTTTTGATCAGGGCATGTCTTTTACCCCCCACATTAAAAACATTACTAGAACTGCCTTCTTCCACCTGCGTAATATCACTAAAATTAGAAACATCTTATCTAAAAATGATGCAGAAAAACTGGTACATGCATTTGTCACGTCTAGACTGGACTATTGCAATGGTTTATTATCTGGGTGTCCAAATACTTCTTTAAAACTTCTTCAGTTGATCCAAAATGCTGCTGCTAGAGTCTTAACTGGAGTTAGTGGGAGAGATCATATTTCTCCAGTTTTAGCTTCTCTCCATTGGCTCCCTGTCAAATCCAGAATAATATTCAAAATCTTACTTCTAACCTACAAAGCTCTCAACAACCTAGCTCCATCTTGTATTGCAGATCTTATTGTTCCATATTTTCCTAACAGAGCACTTCGCTCTCAGACTGCAGGTTTACTTGTGGTTCCTAGAGTTTACAAAAACAGAATGGGAGGCAGATCTTTCAGTTATCAGGCTCTTCTCTTGTGGAACCAACTTCCAATCTCTGTCCATGAGGCTGACACATTATCCAGTTTTAAAACTAGGCTTAAGACTTTCCTTTTTGCTAAATCCTATAGTTAGGGTCGGCTTGGGTTTCCTGAGCTGTCCCTTAGTTATGCTGCTATAGGCTTAGACTGCTGGAGGACAAACTGACCACAATTTTCACTCTGTTACTGTCTTTACTTAGTCTGCTCAACCTGGTTTGTATTTGTAATTATTTTTTCTATCCTTAACATGTGTTGTTTTGTCTTTCAGGTTCACCTGGACCTGGGCCGCTGTGGCTGAGTGGTTAGAGCAGTCGTCCTTCAATGCAAGAGTTGGGGATTCAAATCCACCAGCAGTCACATGCCGAAGTGTCCCTGGGCAAGACACTGAACCTGCATTGCCTCTGATGTGTGACCCATCAGTGTATGAATGTGATATAAAAAAGCACTGATTAGTCTCATTAGAATGATTTGTTCAATTAGCTTTGTAGAGACATGTAGAGTGCTGTATGAATGGGTAAATGAGGACACAGATTGTTGTATAAAGAGCTTTGAGTATCTTGATCAGATAGAAAGGCGCTATATAAGTACAGTTCATTTACCACTCCATTTATATCTGGACCTACCATTCTGTGTTCGTCTGTCTCTCCTTCCTGTCCTCTCAAACCAGCCGGTCAAAGCAGACGGCCGCTTGTCCTGAGTCTGGTTCTGCTGGAGGTTTCTTCCTTTTAAAAGGGAGTTTTTCCTTTCCACTGTTGCCACTGTGCTTGCTCAGGATGAGAGACTGCATCGAAGCCAAGATTCAACTTGTCTGCTGGATTCCTTAGATAGAGAACTTTACTAATTGGCTTTTTTATGTATGTGAATGTTCCTGTAAAGTGCCCTGAGACAACTTTGTTGTGATTTGGCGCTATATAAATAAACTGAATTGAATTGAATTTTGATTTCTATCCATTCAAACACATTCACACACTCTCTGAAGTCCCTCCCATTTCTCATTCTGTCCAATCAGTCACAGTCACACTTCTTTAGCTGTCATTTCTTGTGTGGCCCAGTTACTTTATAATCAAACATTACTTCTATTCCCCAATTCATAATTAAACATTATACCAACCAACCCATGTTATGTTATTTTCACAATTTATAATCAAATATTATTTATATTTTTCACAGTAGCTGATTGGATTCATTGGATTTCGTGGACAAATATAATTGTGTGTCATCAGCATAACAATGATAATTGATCCCATGCTGCTTAATAACTTTACCTAATGGAAGTATATACAAGGGAAAGAGTATCCGTCCAAGCACTGAACCTTGAGGAACTCCATGACTAACTTTGATGTATGATTAAGATGCATTATTTACATTTACAAACTGGAATCTATCAGATAGATATGATTTAAACCAATTTAGAGCTGTTCCTGTAATTCCAATATCATATTCAAGCCTCTGTAGTAAAATATTGTGATCAACTGTATCAAACGTAGCACTGAGGTCTAACAGGACCAGTATAGACACAAGTCCATTGTCTGAGGCCATGAGAATATCATTAGTTACTTTCACCAGTGCAGATTCAGTGCTGTGGTGAGCTCTAAACCCTGACTGAAACTCTTCAAACATCTTTGCAGATGATCATGTAACTGACCTGCAACTATTTTCTCTAGAATTTTTTAGATGAAAGTTAGATCTGATATAGATCTATAACTGGCTAGGATTCCTGAGTCAAGGTTATGTTTCTTAAGTAAAGCTAAATTACAGCAACCTTAAAGCTCTGTGGTACGTAACCGTTTATTAAATCAAAGAGCAAACAAACAAGAAATAATAAAAGCATGCAATAAGGGTACAAAAATAAAGTACCAAAAAGTGAAAAAGTAATTATAATATTTACAAAGTCCGAAAGCCATATGCTGCATTCCTCTGGAGTTTCCTTTAGGGATCAATGTCTCATCAGTCCTATTTTCAGAACAGTCTTATTCTTTTCATACATGTCACACATTCTGTCTTCCAGGTTCTCCACAGGGTCGGTCAGCTCATGTCTCCTCAATCCTGGGAATGTCCGATGAAGTTGCAGGTGAGTCTCGCAGTAGGAGGTCAGACACACCAAGCAGGACTTCAGAGCTTTCTGTTCACAGGCGTCACACAGAATATTTACCACTTTGGTTTCCTGGTTCCCCTGATCCAACTTCCTGTACTGGAGAGCGATTCCTGATATGAGCGTGTTGACCTGAAGCTTGGGTCTAGAAGTGAACCGCTGGTTGCACAGAGGACAAACACAGCGCATGTCTCTGTCCCAGTGTTTGGTGATGCACATCATGCAGAAGTTGTGTCCACATGGTATGGTGACTGGATCAATGAATACATCCAGGCAGATGGAGCAGAGGAAATGATCTTCAGAGAGGAGAGTGCTGCCAGTCGTCATGTCTAATACAAACAAAGGATTTGTGTAAGATTATAACAAATAACTGGCCTTAAAAATAACATAAATGTCTATAACTGAAACATTTATACCTTCAATGAACTCAAATTTGATGCCGCATAAGCTTGATCCCCAACACATGCTCAGCCTTGACAGATTTTAGTTTAGAATTGTGCCAATAACCTATTGAAGTTTCTCTGTCTGTTAGAAAAATATTTAATAAACCAAATGTTAATGACACTCTTAGAATGTAATAAATGGACATGCATCTACATCTGATTAACTTCTGGAGCCAACTCAATTCAAAATGGTTGCCAAAGCCAACTCACTTAAACCACAAACATATCGATAATTCATCCATAGTTTCAGATATTAAGCTAAACTTTGGCGTGGCTACTGCTGAGAATCACACACATCACATACTTTAAACACTACACGTTGCACATCTTCCCAAATTTTTGGCCTTACCTGTTATTGTCTGTTAGCAAAATGTCTTATTAACTGCTGGACAGCTTTTCATAAAATTCTTAGAAAGTAATTGGATGTACATCTACAACTTATTCACTTTTGCACTCACAGCAATTTAAGATTTTTGCCACAGTTAATCAACTTTACACAACACCAAAATGGTTATAAGTCAATCAGTTTTACAGATTATAAACTTAAGCTTAGTGTGGCAGTAGCTGAGAGTCATCCTCAATACATACTACGAGCACTAACAGAGACTGTCACACAGGACTGTGCACTGCATCTTTTTCAAGGTTAAAGCACAAACAGTTTTACCCCCTTCCTTTTCATCATGAGATGATCTTAATAAGAAAATGTCAGACATAAAAGAAATTTTAGCCCTTTAGTAATATAACCATAGGTGTCGCAATAATTATAGGTGAAAGGGACGTGTACCTCTACATTTCCATCCATCCATCCATTATCTTTACCCGCTTATTCCATTTTGGGTCACGGGGGTTGCCGGTGCCCATGTCCAGCAATCATTGTGCGAGGGGCGGGGTACACCCTGGACAGGTCGCAAGTCCATCACAGGGACACAGAAAGACAAATGAGACAAACAACCATTCACCCAAAAAAATGACCCGACCCAGCCCCAGCCCATAGACATCATTTCCAAACCCCACTCAACCCAGTGAATTAACAGTAATTACAGGTCAGAACGTGAAAAAAACGTACATTTTTATTTAAGCTTTGACTGCTTATATAGTTATTAACGACCGGTGGACGCGTGGCTGAATAAAAGGGGCAGAAGATCGGAGCTGAGGGAATGTTTGTCCTTTTGTGGCAGTCAAAGCACATTAAATCCCTGCTTCTGCTGCATTCTGCATTATTCATACACAGACCCTGCTCTGACATGTCTGCTTTGGGATCTCACCTGTTTGGATCATCAGCCACGTGCATCCGCTGACGCAATCAAAAGCCTGACCCGTCCATCCAGCACAATATTATGGCCCGCCCGGCCCAAATTCGGGTTGGTCCGGGCCCGAGTTAGAAAAGACAGCTCTACCCCAACACGCACACACACACCAGTGTGTCCCCCCCACATTACGAATGTTTCTGACACCAATGAATATAACTGATTGAAAAGAAGATGATAAATCAGAACCTGAAAATTGTTCAGAATAAATTGTTTGAACCTCGGTGTCCAGTTTGATCCTCACCTGTCCCTTGTTAAACACCTTCTCCATGCCTTTCTATCAAGACTGGACTGTTGCAATTGGATTATTTTTGGCATCTCTAATAAAAACCTTCAAAAGCTCCAGTTCATCCAGAACAGTGCCTCCAGACTCAAGACAAATCAACCACAAAAAAAAAACACAAACATATCACACCAGTCCTGTGGTCTCTTCACTGACTTCCTGTCTTAGCCAGAATCCAGAACATCTGTCTTCTGACACACGACTGCAGACACGGACACGCCCCCCTCTACCTCACAGAGCTGCTCATCCCACAAATCAGAACTCGTTCTCTCCGTTCCAACAAGTCATCTCATCTTCAACTTCTCAGAATGAAGCTCCCCACCGTGCTCTGCTGCTCCTCCTTTATGGAATTCACTTCCAAACCACCTGAGAGGCTCCAGAATCCTCCATAAAAGGATTTAAAATCATCATTGTTATGGCCCTATAACTATTTTTTTGTTTTTTGTTAATTTATTTAATTTGTATGACTTAGCACTTAGAGATTTACAAATATAAAATGCCCTATAAATGGTATACCATAATATTATTATTAAATCACCTTCTGCAGACAAGGTGACAGGAAAGTTGTTTTCTGACTGATTCAGACGTCCATCTCTTTAAGAGGATTTGAATCACTGTCAGTAAAAACACCGCTCACCAACACATGGCTCAATAAAGATTTTAAATAAGTTCTCAAAGACTCTTCTTATTTACAATAGCTGCAGGTAACAAACAGATAGTCAGTAAATTAACAGAAAACAACAAATGAAGGCCTGAATAAAAAGAGGAAACACTTGCCTGTGAGACTGCTGAGACAGCAGCTGGTTGATTTTTGTCAGATTTCAAGTAAAATAAATAAATCCCAGGAGCCGAAACAGTTCTGAGTGTCAGAACTTGTCTGCTTTAAGATAAAAGCATGATGCTTTTATAGATGACACGTCTTTATCTTAAACACAAGGACAGCAGCCTGCGTCAGAGCCAGAGTCCTGGATCAGAGGACCAGTATCAGTCCAACCCGGCATCAGAATCTACAACTCTGCTGCATCCAATAAAAACATGGCACACATCTTATTGTTCTATGGTAACATGCTTTGTCCTCATTACCTTTCGTCACGTCTCTCCTCTTGTTCAGCCCCAGATGATCTGACTCTCCGGCTCTTGAGAATCTTTGGTACTGTTAATATGAGCAGCCCAACAGCTGACACTGCTGTGCTTTCACTTTGCTTCACAGTAAAACATGTGACTGAGGGGAAATCTCCCCTGCACCACAGTTACCCCACAAGCTCTCGAAGGTGATGGTCCTAGTGTCTGTTCGAGTCTTTAGTTTTGGAAGGAGTTTAAAGTAAAAAAAAAAAAAAAGAAAGGTTTGTAGGCTCAATCATGCGGGTAGATAACAAAAGAAGGTTAAATCATTTCATCTGGACCAGTTTCTTTACTTTCATTATGAGTCAGATCTCACAGAAGAACCTCAAAGTGTGTATGTGTGCCCCTGGTGGTACTTGGGACCCCTCTAGTGGTACTCAGAGGAAACTTTGCTTGGTTTTGTGGAGTCATGGAGCGCTGGGGCTTAATCCAGCAGTCATTGGGCAAAAGGAAGGGTCCTGCTTGGACACGTCACCTGTCCATCACAGGACAGATATCAACTGATTTTAAGTTCAATATAATCCAGTTAACCATCATGAGCTGTCCCAAACTATAGACAGAAAATATATTTTTTTATAACAAAGTCCATGCTCAGTAATCCAGGTATACAATCCAACATTTTTCAGTCAGGTCATCTGGACAGTTTCTTTTTCTATATTTTTATAGTTTTAACCAGCATATTGTGCTTGTTTGCATCACTGTGATAACCAAATTAACGGTCTAATAGGAATGCATATCACCGTCTGCCTTTTAATCCAGAGTTTTAGACTAAGATTATGTTATGATGAGGAATGACAGCGTTGTAGCCGTTTTGCTCAAATTTTGAATTTCATTAAAAATCCATCGACTGCTTTAGATTTTTTTAGGATGCCGTGTGATCACCACACAAATTGTCAGTGCTATAAATTGTTAAATTATATTATATTGAGTGGCGATTCATTAAATATCAAACTTCTTTGGCAGAGAGATTTGAGAAGAGTACACAAATGAAAAAGGGCTAGATGTCCTATATGAGAGTGATAAATAATATGTAAGCAAGTAAGTAAACTTTATCCATATAGCACTTTTCATGAATAAAATCACAAAGTGCTTTGAAATACAGAATACAGGCTTAAAATAAAACAAAAACAGCTGATAAAAAACAGTAAATAAAACATTTAACTAAAAGCTTATCTGAAGAAAAGTGTCTTAAGCTGCTTTTTAAAGGAATCAGCAGAGACGGTCACACGAAGAGACGGGGCAGTATATTCCACAGTCTGTGAAGGAGGCCAGAAATAAATTATATAAATATTTAAAATATACTTTATACTCTATTTAAAATAAATAGCGTATAAAGTGTTACATAAATATTATCATACTCTACCAGACTGCACAGAATGAAACTAATGACAGACATCCATCCATCCATTATCTTTTACCCGCTTCTTCCTTTACAGGTCATGGGGGTCACTGCTGGTGCAGCAGTCACTGTATGAGAGACGGGGGACACCCTGGACAGGTCTCCAGTACATCACAGGGACACATAGAGACAAATGAGACAAACAATCATTCAGTCTCTCCCTCACACCTAGGGACAATTTAGAGTTACCAATCAGCCTAACATGTATGTTTTTGGTCTGTGGGAGAAAACCGGAGTACCCGGAGAAAACCCACGCATGCACGGAGAGAACATGCAAACTCCATCCAGAAAGGCCCCCGGACCAGGATTTGAACCAGCAACCTTCTCGCTGAGTGGCAGCAGCTCGACCAGTTGTGCAACCATGCTGCCCTAATGATGGACAAGTTGTGTGAAATCTACAAAAAGAGGTGGGGACATGTTTACACTGTTTTGGGGAATGTTCTCTGGTTACATCTTTTTGGACTATTGTTTTGGAGGTTTTGAGTATCTGGTTTGACACTGGTCCAAAACTGAATTCAAAATCTTACTTCTAACCTACAAAGCTCTCAACAACCTAGCTACATCTTATATTTGAGATCTTATTGTTCCATATTTTCCTAACAGAGCACTTCACTCTCAGACTGCAGGTTATCTCGTGGTCCCTCAAGTTTCCTAAAGCAGCATGGGAGGAAGATCTTTCAGTTCTCAGGCTCCTCTCTTGTGGAACCAACTTCCAGTTTCTGTCTATAAGGCTGGCACATTGTCCAGTTTTAAGACTGTCCTTTTTGATAAAT